GGTTACATGTGACTTGATGTATTCACCTAATGGCTAACTCCCATCACCCAGAGCCCCACAAAGCACAAAGCAAGCAACATTTAGACAAAAAGGAAAAATCTAACCAGAACATAATCAAGCAATTCTATCCACATATCAGGAATCTATACTAGCATACGATTCTAAGCTCATATAATAAGGCATAACCTAAACAGGCTATCCTACCACTTGCTAATCAATACTAGCATGCAGTTTAATAAACGCATATAACAGGCATACAAGACATTCTTCCTAGATCCTTAGCCCTAAACTAGCATGCTGATCACATAATCATATCATAAACTTGTATGGGTAATTTGGGAGAACTTACTTGAGCTCGGCTGATTGCATGTACCACACCCTTTTCTCTTTTTCCCAAAATTCTTATCTTTTCTCAAAGTTCATTTTTCTTATCCTTTTTCCAAAATTCTTATCCTATTCTCAAAGTTCCTTTTTATAAAAACGATTTTCTTTGAAAATTTTCATACCAAGTGCTCAGTTTGAGTTCAGACACACCCGAGAGTATATCCGAATCCCTCAAACCAAGGCTCTGATACCAACTTGTAACGTCCCAAAAATCATGACCAAAAATTTCATTTTAAAATCATTAATCAACCATAACCAAGTCATACATAAATCCTTATATGAAATCAAGTATCATTTCAAACATATTTGATTTATCAGAGTAAACATCCCAGGCTAAAAACTTCTTGGTGTGTGTGCCATGCGATCATCCCGAGCTCTTCCCTCCGCTACCGGAAGTACCTAAAACCAAAACTGAAAACCGTAAGCAAGAAGCTTAGTGAGTTCCCCAACCTACCACATACCACATACATAACCACATACTGGGCCCCCGCCTACTGCATCGGGACTTGCCCGACATCGGACTCGCTCCGGCATCAGGCCCCGCCTGGCATCGAGCCCCACTCGGTATACAGATCTGTTTCTCTTAAGCCCCGCCTATCTCTGGGCCTCGCCCGCTAAACAAATACAAACATATAACATAACACATAACAAATAACTAAACATACTTTACTATCCTTCTGATCTAAGGCCTCACCTAACTTGGGCCTCGCCCCTGTCCTGCTACTGATGAGTCATGGAACCCCGTCCACGCTCCTGCTGATAGTGAGATACAGGCCCCCGCCCATACTCACCTCCCTCCTAACTCGGGCCTCGCCCCTGCTCTGCTACTAATGAGATACGGAACCGCGTCCATACTCGGCTAGTGATTAGATACGGGACCTCGTCCACACTAACCTCCCTACCAGGCACATACAAGTATCACAAAGACAACAAGTATAATCTCACATTCATCATATAAACCTTCCTCGGGCTTGCCCCGGCATCGGACCTTGGTCTGGAACCTATAAACACTGACACATACGAGGATCAACTACCTCTCGCATACTAACATTCCTCGGGCCTCCCCCGACACATATCATAAAATGCCTAGGGCTAACCCTCGAATCTTCCTACTATACACAAACATAATGGGTCGGCATTGTGGCCGTAGACCCATGCACACAGTGAGGAAACTCACCTCGCAATACTGAACCCTGCTGAAAACTCCTCTGGCTGCTAACTAGAACTTCCCGAACTGCTGATCCTTCGGCTCCCCGAGCTATCAATACCAAAATATCACTTAGTCCAATTCAATAATTCTCTTTAGGGTAAAATGACCATTTAACCCCTAGTCCATGCCGGTCCATAACCAAGGCCTAAACCATAACATAAAAGACCCAACACTAGGTGAGCTTCCAAAGCCCACTAGTGGCCCACTATTGGCCCAATTTGCTACATTGGGCCCAAATCCTTAATGGGCCTTACCCTAAGCCCAAAGTATATTCCTTGACCCATAATATCTGACTTCTGATGGCCCAATAAAACTTAAATACCCGAGCATGGCCCAAACCGAGGCCCAATAGCACGAAGCCCAAACTGACAGAGTATGCGGGGCGTACTCCTATGTACGCTAAGCGTACTAGCCAAATGGTATGTACGCTGGGCGTACCTGCATGTACGCTCATCGTACTCCCTCTGTTAAGTCACTTTCCCACTAAGTGCTTAATATGCTACTCCAGAAGCTACAAACATAGATCCAAGTCCTTTTCCATGTCTTAATCCATAAAGTCACTGACTTGGTGACTTGGCATGCCCCAATCAAGACTAAACTCCAAAAATGATATTTCATTCACATAGAAATACTCTTAACTCATGCATGAACCCAATAAGACATTCAAGATGGCCACTTTCTACCTTAGGGACTCATATAGAACAGAGAGTAGCAACTCCAAGTCCTAGAAATCGGATTGAACCGCAAAGCTTCAACCTTTGGACCAAAATGGTCCAAAAACTCAATCTAAGAGATCAAAGAAGATAATCACCAAGTTTAGATCTTTATACCTTGAAATGGCTAGAAATGAAGCAACAATCCCATATCTGCAACCTCTCCTTTGAACCACCACCTTTCCTTGTTCCTTTCTTGTTTGGAAAATGGATTCACAACACCAAGATGCTTCTCTAGTGACCTTCTAAGCTCCAAGAACACTCAAATATGGATTAGGGTTTTGTAGTGGCTCCTTTAGGGTGGAAATGGAGGTTGGCCTTCGAGACATAAGGTTCTTATATAGGGCTCAACCCTAAAATTAGGGTTTAGGAACTCTGAGCATACGCTGGGCGTATTTCTCGTATGTTGGGCGTACGCCCCTCCGCACCCGCGATCATTTTCCTTTATACGCTGGGCGTACCCCAGCCTACGTTGGGCGTACTCTTGCGCTGGCACCTTGTATGCATGGTCCTTTCTTGCTATCTTTCTCCATTAAGGACCAATATTGCCAATAACTTCATAGTGCTATAAATCCTTCGTTCTAAGCCTGTTTCCGACGAACTTTATACCCACGAAAAGGTGGCGAGAAGCCCTACGCTCCTGACTACACACCCAAGCCTTAAAACCTTTCGAATAAAACCCGAGACCCATAAAAGACCAAAACGCCCCTAGCTTTGTCCTTTGAAATTCATAAGCGGATACTTTCAGAACAGGGTGTTACAACCGATATACCCCTTGGCTCCAAGGCACAACCCAAACTCCCGGATCACCTCAAATACATCGTCCGTTCCTAAATGGGTCTAGATCGAACTTATGATAACCCGTCTTCAGGCCACTGTCCCGAATTAGGAAAGCGATTCGGAACAGGGCGTTACAACTCTCCCCCACTTAAATTAGATTTCGTCCTCGAAATCGCTCCTTACTAACACCCATATACCAACAAATGATCTGAGGAACGCAACCTATGATTCTACGCGTAAAACGATCTTCTCAAGACAACCGAAAGCCATGCCGAACCTCTATCACGAAGAAAACGAACTTCGAGCTCCTGCAAATCACTTTTGCCTTCCCAGAGTCTGAATCCATACTGGTCCGTCTCCCTGACAGACTGCCCATGCATAACTATCTGTAGAACAATTATACTTGACAGAAGGCTCAGACAATCCTTCGAGTAGAAGATTCATCCCTGCAACGGTTAGACTCAGACGAGAGCTGCGCAACAGGGTCAAATCAATTCCTATGAGATTATTCAACCCAACTGTAAGTGACTTAGCACTTTCGATCATCAAGCTACTCCTCGTACAGGATTCCTCACATCACCATTGCTGTCTGAACATCTTATTGTATTTTATCCGCTTCCGGATGAACCGAGGCCACCCTGGTCCCAACTGATCTGCCATTATCTGGAATACCGGACTCCCACCCGGTTGTTGAACTATATATACCGGTTCTGACGAGTACCCAACGGGTAGCGGTTCCGTAAAAATGAAAACCGGAACCACTTAAGACGGTTCCGATTCCGGAACCGACGGTTCCGAAGCGGATCCGGTTCCGAAAGCGGGTACCCAGTTCCGCTGTTCATCGCTACTTATGGTGGATAAAACTCAGGTTAAAATTGATAAATTCACCGGAAAAAAGGGATATAAAACTCTCCCATAAAATGAATGAAGCCCACGAATAACTGATATATATATATATATATATATATATATATATATATATATATATATATATATATATATATATATATATATATATATATATATATGAAGGACATGTCATTTGAAGATTGAAACTTGTCCTATTCCAACTTCATATACTTATTTCGTTTTTATATCACATTTGGAGGGTGTTTGTTTTAACTTTTAAAATGACTTTTATTTTTATCTTTTAGAAAAAGTCAAAAAGATGTTTGTTTAAGTGCAAATGACTTTTGGAAATCACTTTTTCAATTGAGTAAATTGAGCCTTTTTGAAAAGTCACGATTATGTGACTTTTCTCAACTTTTCAACAGTAAAAGTATTAAATTACCAATATACCCTCATCTATCCTAATCAATTCTTCATTCACGATTCCTTACTCTCTCCTAAAAGTTAACCCAAACACTTTAACTTTTGACTTTTTCACTTCAAAAGTTAATCCAAACACATTTTAAAAAACAACTTTTATAAAAAATCATTTTACAAAAAAGTCATTTTACAGAAAGGACTTTTGCCCCACAAAAACTAAGTGAAACACCCTCTTGATGTTATCTATTGTTTAGAAGCATTTAACAGTTATGACTATCTTATATGATAAATTCATAGTAAACATGTAATTAATTACGTTTGTTTTCGTATAAGCCCATCAACATACATAACTCTAGTTCACATGTGTTAACGTTTGTTTTGGTATAAGCCCATGAACCTACTAAACTCTAGTTCACATATATTTATGAATTACTAACATATTTTATTTTGGTTCTGACAACTTAATTTATAGTTGTATTAGTAGGGGCATAAACACTAAAAAGAGTGAAAGGAACTAAGGAAATATCAAATCATTTAATACAATTTTAATTTTAATAACAAAAGTAGTGAATAGTACTTTTAGGAAACAAATACTAGTATGAACTATGAAGATGAAATAAACTCAATCACCTACCTTCCTGCGCCTAACTCTCAACCAATTTGCCGGTGATCCCTGAATCAGATGAAGGCGGATTACCACCGTCCTCCACCACAATGTCAACCACCTCTGGTTTTTGAACATTCATCTTCTCATTCTGTATCCCTCTTAAATTCTCCACCACTTCTCTCATCGTCGGCCTCATATCCTTCTCAACCTGCAGACACCAGAAACCCAACTCCGCCACCAACGTCACCATCCGCCTCACACCACCATCGATCTCGAACCCAATTCTCTTATCAACCAACTCACCCAACCGACGATTTTGAATCCTGTCAATAGCCATGTTAGCCAAGTTAATATCAAGCCTGTGTCTACTCGTGTCAACGGCTTCTAACGACGATAGGAGCTCCATCAACACCACCCCGAAGCTATAAACGTCGCTCTTATCTGTCAACCGGTAGCACTGGTAATACTCCGGATCCACGTATCCCGGCGTCCCTTGTGGCGCGGTGGAGACATGTGTGACGTTGAACGGAAATAATCTCGACAACCCAAAGTCAGCAACCTTGACTTTGAAGTTTTCGTCTAGAAGAATGTTGCAGGTTTTAACATCACGATGAATGATGTCGGAGTCATGGAGGTATGCTAATGCTTCGGCTGTTTCTAACGCGATGTTCAACCGCAATCTCCAGTTCAGATTTGAGTTCGAGTTGGCGAATTTCCCATGAAGATGATCGGCGACTGTGCCATTAGCAACGTACTCGTAAACTAAGAGGAGTTCTCTGCTTCTTCTTGAAGAGCATCCATAGAATTTCACAAGGTTTTCGTGATCTAACATCGTCAAGATCTCGATCTCATTCATAAACTGTTCCACACGCTTGAAACTGTTCTTGTATAAGCGTTTCACCGCCACTTCTCGACCATCCATCAGCTTACCATAGTAAACAGTGCCGAAACCACCATCTCCGAGTTCTCTTGAATCGTCAAAGCCACCGGTAGCTGCTTCAAGTTCATCGCAAGTGAAAACCCTAGTTCCGAAATAGGTGCTGGTTCCCAATTCCGTTGTTGAAGAAGAATAAGAAGTAATGCTCGCCGGAAAAGTGGTAGCAACTCCTTTGCTTGAAACAACCGTCGCACTTTCTTTGTTCTGAGTTTCTTCATCTTCTCCGGTGGGATACCGTTTCTTCCGTTTTCTGCAAACAAAGAGTCCGGAGACAATTCCAATGGCAGCAAGAATGGCGCCGGTGATAGGAAGAGCTATAATCATGGATTTTTTCTTTGACGAAGAACTGGTTTGGGTTGCGTTAGCCATGGTGCAGGTTTCTGCGATGAAAGGTTCAGTAGAACATGCACATGAAGTTCGATTTGAATCATAATCGTAGAAACAACGACCATTTGACTGAGTGCATTGACTGCAATTAGTGGCATCGAGTTTCCAGTTAACCTCAAATCCTCCCCGGAGAACTTGATCCAAACCGGTTGAATTCACCAGACCTGTTGATTCAATTGCCATAACAGGAATCGGGACAATGACACTGTGATTACAGATTCCAGGGCCTTGTTCCCCGGGCAAAACAAGAACTTTATCAATCCCATTGTCATCACAAGACAATGAATCAAGAGGAACCCCATGAAGCTTGAAAGAATCTGGGCATCCGTAAAGGAAAGTGATGTTCATGTAAGCTGGAGAGTAATCGAATAGGTTGTGATTAATGGTGGTGTTGACGAAATCATGTGGACATATCGATTCCTTCACATCTTCTCTAACGATCTTTAACATATTGGATGTTTGATCGATGCTTAGAACATGGTATGTCATGTTGTTTATGTCGATACTAGGGGCATTTTTGCCATTACAGTCGAGCTCGAAGCCTGGATACCCACAGTAGATGGGATCTTGGTGTTTCAAGAAAGGATATCGGATGTTGGAAATAGTCCCACAAGTGAATGAGTCGTCACAATTTTCATAAGATTCATGGAGGCTGCTTGAAGCTCTTTGAGCTACAATGAGAATTAACAAGTTGACTATGGTTAGAAAGGAAGGACACCAAGAAAGGATTTGGGAGTTCATTAGGAATGATGATCTTTGTGTTTGAATTGATGAAGATTTATTACTGGTTTTTGTTCAATATTATGGACCTAATTATCCAACTAACTACAACCATATTTGGAATTTCACTCCATCATCAATTTAGGTCAAGTTTTGGTGGAATTTGTTGACTTTAGTGTTGGATAAAAGAAATCTGGATTTTGACTTGTTAGTAAATTTGATGTGTTGTTACATTTAATATGTAACCAAAAGAGGTCGTTGACCTATACAGGCCCATTTCCAATTGCCAAGCAACAACACAAACACATTAAGAAGGTGGACGATAGTAATAATATAGATATGTTAATGTATACTTTCGGTATTCCAGTATAGTTCAGGGCTACTATATAGTACAGTATATATTGTAGATTGGAGTTATTCACCAAAATATCAGTTTTGGGAGGTTATATATATATATATATATATATATATATATATATATATATATATATATATATATATATATATATATATATATATATAAAAGCATTTAGATTCAAATGCTGAATTTTAAGAGGTACAACCCTGCATTCCAGAAAAATAAGGTATTAACTATTGAAAAAGTCTAGATAAGAAGGATTGGACGCATAATTATCCTTAACTTCCGGTATTCGACTTAGTCCCCTGTAATCCATATGTTGAATACTACCTGCCTTCCCTACATTTTTGTTGATCGATTCTATAAGACTATAACCATCCAGTACACCGATGCTTCCCATCTTCTATTTGTGAAACTCTAATCTGTCAATTTATCTGACCATCGATCACCATCGCCCATTGATTTCTTCCCCTCTCTATATTTTGTCGTTAAGAACACTAACCCTTAATAATTGAGGCCATGGGTGGATTTTGACAAGGTATACATCAAAAATTCAATATTCGACAACTAACTAGCTATATATATCCCTGTCTGTGTCTTCGACTATGAGCAAAACTTTAATTTTTTTTGAATTTCATTTCTTTAATTTATTTGTATTTTCACTTATACACCTCGATTGGACCGTGTTTCAATTCATTTTCTCCATCTTTCGTGGGGTTTCAGTGTTGTTGTCATCATCATGAACAAATGGATCTTTCCGGTATGTATCTATCTATGCTCTATTCATATTTTAGCTTTTGTTGAATTCGTTGCACGTATCTATCCATTTGACATCAACTATCAAGAACTTTCAAATATCGATAGTTCATCATGTTTTGATGTTTAGTTTTGTGTTGTGTACTGTAGTAGGAAGGTCCATCTTCAAGTCATTAAAATGTAATATTCCTGATTTGACTTTCATTATTTATTCTAGAAATGTCTTGATTTTTGTATGATTTTTGGTTAGATTAAAACATTACCATTTGATTTCTCTCATTATTTTCGTTTTGTTGACATTTTTAATCTCTTTTGCAGACTCGACCATTAGTGATCTATCGAGGCTTTTCTTTTTGATGAGTTTCTTTTTTGGTTCATATTGATGATTTTTTTTCAGATCAGACCTGCATCACTAATCAACAATGAACCCCAAATAGCAGGTCAAATAAGAAGTATACCAGGATTGTGTTTCCTTTTTCTTTTCTTCCATATTAGTTTTCGTTAGTCTTTCTAACTATATGTTTGTGTGTGTAACTATTTATGTGAGAAATAGTCTCGATTGTGTGTGTGATATTGGTTGTCGTTAAAAGGCATAAAAACAGGGCATGTACGTATTCCTTCAAAATATTTGATTTAGATTTTTGTTATTTAAGAAAAAGAGTCATTCTATAACATAATTAGTGCTAACCTTGGTTTTTTGTGTTTAGGGTCGTCTAGGAATCAATCATGGGCATCTTCACACATGAGAAGTAAGACATCAAAAATTATTGGTTGCTGATGTGTTTGAAATACAAGGAGGAGCTGCTGAGTTTTCTTATTTTAAGGAGAAACTGGCTGATTAATCCAGGAACTCCAGTAAAAGAGTCAAGTCTTATGCAGTTTTTAAAAATGTTTTAAGGTTAATGTTTTTTTATGTTTATTGACTTAATTAAGGTCTGATGTTGAAGTTTAATTCTACTGTTTTTTTTTTTTGATGATGTCAGGTCTAATGCAGTATTGGGACTTGGGGCTTAAATAGAATTGGAATTTGAGATTCCATTCCATGGAGTATTTTGTTACCAAATGGTTAGATGCCAGGTATGATGCCCCTTCTTGATCTGCTTGGGTGTTGTTGTTGATGTTAACAAAATTCTGGAGTAAGGACCTTTATGCCCTTGGATGTATTCTTGGTTTGAGTTTTCCATTGGAGTTATGTAAGTCTTAACAACGGTGGGCGCTACTGGTTGTAAACACTAATTAAAGGAAAACAACAATGACATCGCATTTATCTTTTCCCCACAAAACCTATTTCCTATTTCCTTTTGTTTTCCTCTACAGCCAAGAAACGACAACCCTTCTCTTCTTTTTATTTTCTTATTGGTTCGAACTTGCAGGTGGTTTGTTCTCGGTTTTTTAAGGTGGTTTTAATGGCGATGATGGAACCGATTGGCTGTGGTGGTTAGTGATGGTGTGATGTGGGTGGTGTTCTGGCTAGGAGTGGGTCTCGATAGAGGTGCTTGGTGATGATGATAGTAGGTGGTGTTGTAGGCGGTATAAGGTGGCGATAGTGGCAGGTTTTTAATGGTGCTGGAACTGTGGTTTTCTAGCAAGTGTGTTTCTCGGTGAGGAAGGAAGTGGTTGGAGATAGCTACGGTGGGTTATGATTTCCCTTTTATTTTCAATCAAATTGTCCTGAGTACATGAGTGCATTGATTGTTGTGGAGAAGAATTTGATAAAAAAAAAATGAAATATTAGTTGAGGCTCTTGAATATTTGGAACATGCTATAACTAATTAATGATGTTTTCCAGATTCAATGATGAAATATTATTCATCTTTGTCTGTGGTAGTATCTGCCTATATATCTCTATGTGTGTGTGTTTCTATGTTGTGAGTGTGTAAAATGGATTGTATATGTGACTGTATGAGTTTGTGCATATGTATGTGAAGGTGTATATGTCTATGCATGTGTTTGGGTGTTTGTATATGTGTATATGATGGTGTATATGTCTCATGAATGTTGATATATTGACACTGGCTTATCATATACATGATATAAAGGTATGTTGATGATCAAGATTTTCCCTTTAGAGATTTATCAAACTTTCAGGTGCAATATGTGACATCCTCATTTTCACAGCTAGAAAAGACCGATTTTGTTTATGCTTTATAAAAATCAGAGTACCTCTTTTAATAAAAATATTGCGGAATTTGTTCCCAGTAAAACATGATAAATACGTTATCAAAGCATTTCCGAATAAAAGTATTTTTATTCATTTTAAAACATTTGGGATGTCATCGTCAATACAGAAACATAAGCATAAACAGAACTTACATTCATTATCACTAGTGATTTATATCTCCTTAATCTCTCAGTGTAATGTGACTTCATATCAACACCTGTGATATAAATAAACTGAGTGGGTCAGGTTAGGAAACCTGCTGAGTACATAGGGTTTTCAACCCACAATAAATAAGTTTATTAACTTTATCAAACCAAACAAACCCGATTACCCGTTCCCGTTATCCTCACTTTACGTCCCTAAAACATCTAACACAAGGGACCTAGTCTAAGGACTTTCATCGGGGTGACAACACATGCTTCGGGGGTTCCTCAGCAATTCATGTCAAATAAGGCAACCATGTGGGGGATGGAGTACTGCTGGTGAGCACACAGTTCAAATAAACACCTACAGGTTGCGAACCTGCTAGCGTTCCACTGGACTGTCTAGAATAGTCTGTGGTCGTCATCTATACTCCGCTAGATGACTGGATCATCAATAACATCTATATCGAGGCCTCTCATTATTTTATTTTGTCACACAGCAACTATTCATCTACCCATGTTTTACCCAACACATTTTGTAGACATAAAATACATATACAGTTTAAATCATTTAAAACATGTATAAAATCGTTCATCTAGCATAGATAGAAAGTATACAGATAATATGCGCACACAGCACGCAATTTATATAAAATACTTCATATCTATGTGTAAGCTGAAAGGGACCATGCACTCACTTGAAAAGGTGGTGATTCCGAACTCAGACAGCGCTTCGCTTCTTAAAAATAATTTCATTCGACGAAACCTAGTATTATTACCACTAGAGTTTAGTATATTATTCGACGAGACTAATTAATAGTCTAGCTATTATTACTATTATATAAGCGTTAAAAAATACTTATATAACCCATAATAATAGGCCAAGTACTTATTATAAGTTCCTAATAACGTTACTATAATTAAATAAAAGCTATATTAAAAATAGTGTAGGTGTAGCTCACTTACAGCGGATTTTATAGAAAACAGGGCTTTGCTTGGAGCAGCGTTCCCGAGCCGAAAATCTCTTCTTCTCGGAGCCGTCGAGCACTCCGGGGCTTCCGCCTCGTGCTAGGGAGGTTCCCTAGGCTTTTCGGGGGGTTTCGGGGCTAGAGAGAGGTTCTAGAGAGATAGTAAAGAGAAGAAAGAATGGGAAATGTGTAAAGAAAATGAGGGTGGGAGAGGTTCTATTTATAGGGTGAAAAATGGCTGAACTTGGTGCCACATGTCACCATCTAGTGGCAAGACTTGGGGAGAAAGCAATGGTCAAGATTGTGCCACATTACCCATTTTCGCACAGTACACTTCCGACTTCTAAAATCAGTAACTTTCACATACGACCTCCGTTTTTGACGTTCTTTATATCCACGCGTAGGTAAAAATAAGATCTACAACTTTCATTTTGACTCGGTCGGCTAATTATCGACCGATCTTAAATTTAACAGTACGAGGGGATTATACTGTTAAATGTCCGCGTAAAATTCATAACTTCTACATACGGACTCTGTTTTCGTCTGTCTTTTTACCGTTGAGTTCCTATTAATGAGATCTTCAAATCTCATTTAGGCCGCGTAGGCCAAAAACCGTTCGATCTAAAATTCGAGTT